GGTGGGCTTGGAAACGACTAACAGCCCATATACATATATATATATATATATATATATATATATATGGTGTCCCAAAATGATGTATACACTCTTTGAATCGTTATAACTTATTCAATTTATGTATTTTGACTTGTAAATAAGATTAATACAAGAGAAAAAATATACATTTAAAGAATTTGAGCGTAAAATATACAACAAATAATAAGATAATATATATATATATATATATATATATATATATATATATATATATATATATATATATATATATATTGGCTTAAAAGACGCTATATCTGGTGGTATTTAAGCCTGATCCTGCTGATGGATCTTGATTGGGCCTTCAATTTCTTCCGGAGATTGAGAGTGCGTAAGTCTTTGCATATTCTCTGCATTGGTAGCTCTCCTGGCTGCCGTTTCAACTGGAGTTTTATTTGAACGTACTTACTTTTCATCGCTGCAGCCTTGGCTCTTTTTATTGCAATCTAGTCCTCTGATGAATTCTTTTTGCGAGTTATGCAACTGCCGTATGCGATAGGCAGCAATAAACTACAGAAGAACTCAAAATTGATTGCTGCATTTAAGTATTACATTAATATTTAAGCTTACCTTTTAAAAGTTCAACGATTATTCTTCTTCCTCCATTTTAATTTAAAGACAGTTTGATGTACGTAGGTCCTTACTTTCCGTACCAACAATTATTTTTATTTTATGGATGACTTTCGCTTGATTTTGCAATTAATTTCGATTATTCCAAAATTTATATAAGTTATAAAAAATTTATTGGAGAAAAAATAGTAAAAATCACGTAAAAAATCACCGAAACAATCGCAGTAATGATGATTCAAAATTTCAGGATTGCGGGTCTGGATCCGATCCTGAAATATTTCTAATTTGCTCACAGAGTCGATCTGATTACACAATGGTATATCTTCGGTTAAGGCCTCTCGGAGTAAATTTGAAAAAGTGTGACACACTGACATTAACATTTCTTAATATAGAAATAGATGAGATATTTAAAAGTTAGAGAGTTGTGCCCCTTTAATTGAAAAAGTGTGACAGTGACACTGACATTCAGATTTATTATATACATAAAAAAGTCGAGATATTTAAAAGTTTGAGAGTTGTGTTCCTTTAATAGAAAAAGTCTGGCACACAGATTTTCGCATTTATTATATAGAAGATAAAGCTATTGAAAGTTAGAAAGTTGTCTCCCTTTAATGTAAAAATGTGACACAAAGAGATTTCCACATTTATTATATAGATGGATATGTGTGTGTGCGTATGTGCATGTGTGCAGTTCGTTAAATAAGACAGACAAGTGTTTTTTTCTGGACTTAATATAGGAATAAACTCAAAACATTTTGATTTCGGATGATTTCGGTTAATCTTTCTATTCGCCATTTTTAGAGTGGAAGTATTTTGTAGATAGTATTTGGAAATTAAGAATATGCCAATTTTCAAAGACTTGTATAATGTTAACACTAGCACTTACTATTTATTATAACTAAATAAGGACAATGGCTCAGTTTAGCCGAAACTACACGGAACGAACAAAGATTTGGACAATTTTTACATTCATTAAATACAGAAATGAAAACACTTGGGCGTATATCATTATTATAGAGAAGAAGATAAAGCTATTGAAAGTTATAAAGTTGTGTCCCATAAATAGAAAAGGTGTGACACACAGATTTTCGCATTTATTATATAGAAGGTAAAGCTATTGAAAGTTAGAGAGTTGTCTCCCATTAATTGAAAAATGTGACACAGTGATTTTCACATTTATTATACAGGTAGATATGTGTGCGTGTGCGTGTCTGTATGTGTGTGGTTTAGACAGAAAAGAGATTTTTCTCGACTTAATGAATATAAAAATAATCTCAAAATTTTTCGACTTCGGGCGATTTCATATACAAGAGAAATACAAAAAACTTAAGAAAGGTATCTTGTCAGTCTTGTTTAACGGAACAAAAACACCCAGCACACACACACAAACACACACACACATACACACACACACACACACACGCACCCCCTACACGCATATATATATATGCGTGTAGGGGATGCGTGTGGGTGTGTGTGTGTATGTGTGTGTGTCTCACTGGTCACGGGGATCCGGTCTCTGTGCTGGTATTATCATAGCTATAACTAGCTTGGACTGGCTGTGACCAGCTTGTACCAGCGGCCCCAGTGAAGACGCTCGGGTTAATAATCTAGATACTTACCTGTCACAGGGATACTACCCTCCACTGGTAGTATCACAGATATGACTAGCATAGACCAGCTCGGACAAACTATGATCAGCTAAGACCAGCAGCCCGAGTGAAGACACGTTAAAAACTGACCATGTGTCACAAGCTGACTCAGTGTGTGTGTGTGTGTGGGGGGGTTCAAGGAAATACATACTGATACACACTCTGATAGTTGTGGGTCACAGGGATCCGTCCCTGCGCAGGAGGTGGGGTCAAGTAAATACAGTATACAAATTCCTCTCTCTCTAGTGGTATACACATTCTGATACTTAAGGGCACGGGGATCCGTCCTTGAGCAGCTATGACTGTCTTGGACCAGCTTGACCAGCTTAGACCAGCTATGACTAGCTCTGACCATCTCTGACAAGCTAAGACCAGCGACGTAAGTGAAGGCGCCCCACATTAAACCTAACTTGTGCCACAACCTGACCTCGTGGGGTGTTGAGTAAATACAAATTACTCTCGACTAGTTTGTTACACATTATTTATCATCTCTCACTTGCGTCTCTGTCTTTGGGCAGAGTGCTCTCAGGGGCGACTCCGTCAAAGGACAGAGTCGCAACCGAGGAAAATTATACTGAGATTGCCTAACCCTGGAGAACAGCTGTCCGAATCCGCAACCATTTCACTAGAGATAGGGTTTGGTACTCGCACTGAGGCTAGTGTAACCGACGGTTGCGGTGGCTCTGGCCATTTTTATTCCTAGCCCGGGTGTACGCGCTCAGGCTCCACACATTAAACCGACCTTGTGTCACAACCTGACCTCGTGTGTTGTTGAACAAATACAAATTACTCTCGAGTCGTTAGTTACACATTATTTATCATCTCTCAGTTGCGTCTCTGTCTTCAAGCAGAATGTGCTCAAGGGCGGCCCCGTCAAAGGACACAATCGCACCTGAGGAAAATTATACTACGATGTGCCGTCCCTGGGGAACAGCTGCTCTAGGCTGCGCGCTCTCATTGCACTAGAGAGAGCAATCGGTGCTCGCTATAAAGTACCGCTGGGGCTTTATAATCTCAGAATTCGTGGGAGAATTGAGCTCCAATTTCGCATTTATTCATATAGATTCCATAATATAGGTTTTACTTAATTAGCTATTATGTTTCTCTAAGTCTTCAAACGTTGAATGTATAACTAATTCCAATTTCTATTTTCCTATCTTTACACTATATTAATTTTATCTTACAACTTGTCCCCTATGCTGTCACTCATGAAATAAAAATAATTGTTTGTACGGAAAATAAGGATCTACATACATGAAATCATCTTTAAATTTAGTGGCAACAGAAGAATTATCGTTGTACTTTTAAAAGGTAAGTTTAAAAATTAATTCATTACTTAAATGCAGCGATCAATTTTGAGTTCTGTAGTTTATTGATCCGTATCCCATCTACCCTTCCCTAGCTACTGTTGATGATGGCCAAACCAAGAATCCCCCACAGGAGCTAGCTTAAATGCCGCCCAATAGGGCCACTTTTAAGCTAGCTTAAAATTTTAGCTAGCTTAAAATTTTAAGCTCGTTGTAGCTTGGAATACAAAAGGAAATAAGAGTTACCCCGCTTGAACAATGAAAGCAACGATAATGGCTAGTATAATATATTAATATATATTTTTAACCTCGCATAATCTGGCAACCCTGAATCTGAGTTCACCGAAAATCGTTCCATGCGACTAAATTTTCTAGGGCTTTTGAATGAGCTATGAATCATTGAAATCGGACCAGTGGGAGCGGAGGAGTTGCTTGGACACGCACAAATACATATACACTGTAATTCACACACACACACACACACACACACACACACACACACACACACACACACACACACACACATATATATATATATGTATAGATGGGAAGTATTGAGTAGACTTGCTGTCAGTTAATCGCCTGTGCAAGAGACACAATTATTGGTGTGAATACACAATAAACGAAATAATAATAATAATAATAATAATAAGGCTAAAATTATTACGTTATGACGAAAATGATAATCGAAATAATAGTAGCAATGGTATAATTATTACGTTATGACGAGAATAGTAATGGTAATAATAATAGCAATGATAAAATTAATACGTTATAACGAAAATAATAATCATAATAATAATAGCAATGCTAAAATTATTACGTTATGACGACAATAATAATTGTAATAATAGAAATGCTAAAATTATTACGTTATGATAACAATAATAATCGTATTAATAATAGCAATGCTAAAATTATTAAGATGCTAATAATAATAATAATAATATCAATAATAAAATGAGTACGTTATGACGCCAATAATAATAATGATAATAATAGCAATGATAATATTGTTAAGTTAAAACGCTAATAATAATAATAGTAACATAAAATAAAGAGGATATTGATAATCATAAAAGACTTTTACTACTACTACTATTTGGACACGAACAAAAAGGATCCATTTCTAGAGATTCTATTATAAATACATAGATACTAGAAAGAATCTAATATCATTTTTCTATTTGAAGGCAGCAAATATGAACAACCTCAAAGTGTCCGATTTGATAGGATTTCGGCCGATAACAAACATAAATAAAAAGAGAGAGAGAGAGAGAGAGAGATAGAAAAAAAGAAAGAGAAGAGACAATTGATAAAACAAAATTGAATGGAAAACATAAAAAGAAAAGACAAATAAGAGAATGATATGAAAAAAAAATTAAGGTGTGGGTGTGGGTGCGGGAAACGATCTTTTACCAGTGGGTTGTTATAGAACTGTTGCCTGATTATCCATCTCTGGAGCAGACCAATTCACCTCATCTTCCCAATTTTTCTTATTACGCACACCCCACATCCAGTCACCAGGGCTTCTCGTTAATCTCTCCTCATCTCTCTTACTCTTTCCTACTCTTTTCTTTCTCTCTCGTCACTTCTTCTCTAACTACAACTCTACTTCTCTTTCTCTTCATTCTTAGACGTGGAACGTTTTTTTCCTCTGACAATTTATATCTTTTTCCCCGCTCTTTCATCAGATTTATTTGACTATGCTATTTCTATTCTTACTTTTCATGAACAACCACTCTCTCACTCTCAGATTCTCTCTCCCTCTCTCTATGTCATTATCTATCTATCTATCTATCTATCTATCTATCTATCTATCTATCTATCTATCTATCTATCTATCTATCCAAATCTATGTACGTATGTGTCTATCTATCACACCCTATTCAAATCTATCTATCTATCTATCTATCTATCTATCTATCTATCTATCTATCTATCTATCTATCCAAATCTATGTACGTATGTGTCTATCTATCTCACCCTATTCAAATCTATCTATCTATCTATCTATCTATCTATCTATCTATCTATCTATCTATCTATCTATCTATCTATCTCATTAAATTTCTTCATTTGAATTTGTTATATCTATCTATCTATCTCATCTATCTATCTATTCAATCTATCTATCTATCTATCTATCTATCACTATCTATTCAAATCTATCTATCTATCTATCTATCTATCATCTATCTATCTATTCATCTATCTATCTATCTATCCAAATCTATGTACGTATGTGTCTATCTATTTATTCAAATCTATCATCTATCTATCTATCTATCTATCTATCTATCTATCTATCTATCTATCTATCTATCTCATTACATTTCATATTCATTTGAATTTGTACATATCTATCTATCTATCTATCTATCTATCTATCTATCTATCTATATCTATCTATGTACGTATGTGTCTATGTCTATCTATTCAAACATCTATCTATCTATCAATCTCATTACATTTTATATTCTTCATTTGAATTTGTTCATATCTATCTATCTATCTATCTATCTATCTATCTATCTATCTATCTATCTATCCAAATCTATGTACGTATGTGTCTATCTCATCTATTCTCTATCATCTATCTATCTATCTAAATCTATCTATATCTATCTATCTATATCTATCTATCTATCTATCTATCGTATGTGTCTATCTATCAACCTATTCAAATCTATCTATCTATCTATATATCTATCTATTCATCTATCTATCTATCCAAATTATGACGCATGTTTCATCTATCTATTCAAATCTATCTATCTATATCTATCTATATCTATATCTATCATCTATCTATCTATCTATCATTACATTTCATATTTCTTCATTTGAATTTGTTCATATCTATCTATCTATCTATCTATCTATCTATCTATCTATCTATCTATCTATCGTATGTGTCTATCTATCTCAACCCTATTCAAATCTATTATATCTATCTATCTATCCATCTATCTATCTATCTATCATCTATCATCTATTATTTTATATTTCTTCATTTGAATTTGTTCATATCTATCTATCTATCTATCTATCTATCTATCTATCTATCTATCTATCTATCTATCTACGTATGTGTCTATCACCCCATTCAAATCTATCTATCTATCTATCTATCTATCTATCTATCTATGTATCTATCTATCATCTATCTATCTATTCATCTATCTATCTCATTACATTTCATATTCTTCATTTGAATTTGTTCTATCTATCTATCTATCTATCTATCTATCTATCTATCTATCTATCTATCTCATTACATTTCATATTTCTTCATTTGAATTTGTTCATATCTATCTATCTATCTATCTATCTATCTATCTATCTATCTATCTATCTATCTATCTATCCAAATCTATGTACGTATGTGTCTATCTCACCCTATTCAAATCTATCTATCTATCTATCTATCTATCTATCTCATTCATTTTATATTTCTTCATTTGAATTTGTTATCTATCTATCTATCATTATCTATCTATCTATCTATCTATCTATCTATTCATTATCTATCCAAATCTATGTACGTATGTGTCTATCTCACCCTATTCAAATCTATCTATCTATCTATCTATCTATCTATCTATCTATCTATCTATCTATCTATCTATCTATCTATCTATGTACGTATGTGTCTATCTATCTCAACCTATTCAAATCTATCTATCTATCTATATATCTATCTATCTATCTATCTATCTATCCAAATCTATGTACGCATGTGTCTATCTATCTCATCTATTCAAATCTATCTATCTATCTATCTATCTATCTATCTATCTATCTATCATCTACATTACATTTCATATTTCTTCATTTGAATTTGTTCATATCTATCTATCTATCTATCTATCTATCTATCTATCTATCTATCTATCTATCTATGTACGTATGTGTCTATCTATCTCACCCTATTCAAATCTATCTATCTATCTATCTATCTATCTATCTATCTATCTATCTATCTATCTATCTATCTATCTCATTACATTTTATATTTCTTCATTTGAATTTGTTCATATCTATCTATCTATCTATCTATCTATCTATCTATCTATCTATCTATCTATCTATGTACGTATGTGTCTATCTCACCCTATTCAAATCTATCTATCTAACTATCTATTCAAATCTATCTATCTATCTATCTATCTATTCAAATCTATCTATCTATGTATCTATCTATCTATCTATCTATCTATCTATCTATCTATCTATCTATCTATCTATGAATTTGCTTGGTTGGTGAAGTGCTCTCAGTGTTCATACTCAGTAAAAGATCAGGATTGGAAATACTTCTTTTCGAGTGTGGCAGATACTTGACGTGTGGAAGAATGACATTAGGAGACATTACACAATTTCCATTTGTCCTTGTGCCAGACAAAGCCAATCGTCGTCCATCTCGATTTCATTTCCAGTTTTAGTTTGAAATTTCCCAGTGCTTCTGTTAAAGATTTTCTCATTTCAGTAGAAGAACGTATAAATGGAGGAAAAATAAATTATAGCTCAATAAAAGGGGAAAGAAAGAAAAAAATAGGGAAAGAAGAGATAGATAGATAGATAGACTGATAGATAGATAGATTGAGCGATAGATGGAAAAAGAAGAGAGAGAAATAATATCGATTTGTAAAGAAAAAAATCCAGTCAAGAATCAGATGACAAAATAAAAACACAACAGAGGTAAAAGGCGATATGAAAAAAGGGGAATAGATATGGAATGTTTAAAAGAAAAAAAGACAGAAAGGAAGTTTGCGTGTGTGTGTGTGTGTGAGAGAGAGAGAGAGAGAGGCGAGAAGAGAGAAGAGAGTTGGGTTCATTATAACGCAATTTTAGATCTGAGCGATTTTGTTACGGACAGCGGCTAATTTCAATCTGATAGTGTCAGAAAAAAATGAGCAAAAACAGTTGGTGGGTAGCCATTGGAGATGATTTTCTAGCACTTTTTAGTTGATTTTTTTGTTTTTGTTTTCTGTTTTTAAATGCACTTAAAACAACAACAACAACAACAAAACAGTAACGACATGTTTCCGAAGGTTGTACATATCTGTGTACCGGAAGTCCTAAGTCACAAAGAGCGGGAATATTTATCTATTTACAGTTTTTGTTCAATGGCAATCGTTTTAAAGCCGCCATTTTGATTATATGTAAGCCGTATTCAATTTTGATACGGGATTCCGATTTGTACGAATATTGTAGAGTTTTCAGTTTACATTTATAAAAAAAAACAAAAACATGAAAAAGCAAAACAAAAAAAAAAGAACTAAAACAGCATAAAATAAAAAATAAAAATAAATTTTCAAACAAAATAAATAAGAATACATAAATATCTTTGGAGACAATTTCCATAAATACAATGAACACAAAGTATTTTCTATCCCCATAAAAGATATTCCGAGCGACAGATAGATAAACACTTTCCAAATATATATATATATATATATATATATATATATATATATTAGGAAATAGATGATAAAAATAAGTTGTAAAGAAATCAAAATGAAATAACTCAATCGTAATGTTTTTATTTGCAAAATAAAGATTGCATTTTCGACTATTTCTTTCCTTTCAGATAAAGTAGGATAGAGGCAGATATTGAACAGTTACTCTTTGACACCGTTTTATTCTTTCCTTTACTCCATTATATAACCATCAAAATTATGCACGATATTATAGCTTTGGCTTTGTATGATGGTTTATAAAAGGCATATTAAATGATGAAATCTATGAGAACAGTAGTTCGAGGAGAGCCTGACCGTTTTTGGTGCAGAAAATTGAATTAAAGAACCGAGTTCAAATTCCCGGCGTGATATTACATGGAAAGAGCTTCAGTCTGGATTTAGTCCTACCAGAAGATGTCTGCCGCAGTCAGGTAGGTCGCTGCCAGGCTCGCGATTGATTTGTCGATCTCTCTGCCTGCAGAGAGGAAACCAGACCGGCTCACATAAAAATCGACCTTGTGCCACATCCTGCTTTTTTGTGGGGAGATTGGTAAATATCAGTCCTACCAGATGATGATTTGACAAAACTCTTGTCACAGTCATGTCCAAATAGTTGACAAAGAAATATGTATCCAAGTTTTGATAATTGTCCGCTGTTGGTAACATGTAACACATAAATATTTGCCTAATGCTATTCGGTGTATAGATGGAAATAATCTCTCTCTCTCTCTCTCTCCCTCTCTCTCTCTCTCTCTATCTATATATTTATCTATCTATGTATATATATAGTCAAACCTAGAGAGCCAGACAAACGTACCAAGGTTTCACCTAAGCTTTCCCTGACGATCCGTTTAGGTGAAACCTTGGTAGGTTTGTCTGGCTCTCTAGGTTTGACTAGGTCTGCTCTACTTTGTATTGAGCACTTTTTTAGTTAGTTGATTACTCGTATCGGTTTTTTTTTGTTCTTTGAGCTTTGGACCTGTATGCTGTACGATTATTTTCGACAGACATTCATGTTCCTAGCTCTTTCTTTTTTTAAAACCTTTTTTTCCTTCGAAATTGATTTGACCATTAGCAAATCAAGAAACCGAAGGTTTTCCGAGACGAGTGTAGTTACCCATATCTATCTATCTATCTATCTATCTATCTATCTATCTATCTATCTATCTATCTATCTATCCTAATCTTTTAATATATATATGTATATATATATATATATATATATATATGAAGACATATACTCTTAAGGTTTGCTATATTTATGGGATAAAGTGCTCAATATCAGAGATAGGGCGTGTGTAAATATAAAAGTAAAAATTGAAGTCAACACTTAGAGGCGACAGACTGTTTCATACTAGAAGCAATCGTCAGGCCACGAGTCCTGACGATTGCGTCTAGCATGAAACAGCCTGTCGCCCTAAGTGCTGACTTCAATGTTCACTTATATATATATATATATATATATATATATATATATATATATATATATATATATATGTGTGTGTGTGTGTAAAATATATAGGAATGAATAAGGTTGGTAAATAATCCAAAGTTCTTTAGTAGTTTTGTTATTATTTTTAAAAATTAGTGCTCGATACAAAAGTAGAACATAAATCTCTTTGAATGTAACTGAGATATTGATACAAATTATTAACCCTTACGCCCTTTTTTTTAAATAGTTGATCTAGCGGTTACCATAGTGATAAAATTTTAATAATGTATATGCTTATAAAACGCGTAAATTTCAGGAATTAGTTATTCCTAAAAAAAATTTGCTTGAAGAAGGAACAGAGCTTGGTACTATAATTCAATTCAATTCAAATAATTATATTGAAGTTTTCGGCTCTTGTTTTGAAACATGAGAACTCTTATGTAGCGAAGGAATCATATTTTTAAATAAATAATTATATATATACTAATCTTTTCATACCCATCTATCTATCCATATATATATATATATTAAGAAATGGACAAGGTCCGACAATTTATTAATTAAAGACATTTTTATGTTTAACGTTGTTATTTATAGATACAAGTATTTAAGCAAATGCTCTGTTTATGATAAACAATATTAAATAACATTTACCGGCCTGAATGTCCGAGAAATTTTCATAGAAAATATTCGTTTTTTGACAGGATTCGAACCTGCATCCTATACGGAACCGTCATTTACGCTGACGTTCCTTACCTCTGGGCCGCAAAGAACCTTCCGGTAGACAATGTCGAATTTACTGCTTATAAACTTCAATCTTCCATGAATCTCTTTATTTAATACTGTTTATCATAAACAGAGCATTTGCTTAAATACTTGTATCTATAAATAACAACGTTAAACATAAAAATGTCTTTAATAAATAAATTGTCGGACCTTGTCCATTTCTTAATATATGACGTCATTTGTTTACATTTGATACGCCAGAGCAGTTATGAATGTACAAGAACGTATAAACATAAAAATGCTATCCAAGCTAATATCACCTGGTATTCGCAAGCGGTCACCCATCTAGGTACTGACCAGACTCGACGTTGCTTAACTTCGGTGATCGTACAGGTATCGGTGTTTCAACGAGATGTGACCGTAAGCGAAAGATAGCTTTAATCACAGATACGTGTCAGCTAATTCCACCGGATGAACACTCCACCCTGGCAGTAGACATCTGTCTAGGGAGGCCTCCGCCCAGTGATGTTGTGTGATCACCTCACTGGCTAAATCCATAGCTATGGAGTCCAGTTTACCAGATTCCGTTAGATGAACGTAGTTTCATTCGCTGTTTGACATGTTTTTAATCCCCTAGCCTCCCTCCTCGCTAAAAAGGTCTGGCGGAAAAAAAAACAATTTTCATCGTCAAATTTGCCAAACATTTGAGTAGAACATCGGACATACACATATATGATGACATTTTTATGTTTATACTGCTCTGTTTATAATAAACAGTATTATCAACATTGTCATAGAAAATATGCGTCCTCCGACAGGAATCGAATCTGTATCCTATACGGAACCGTCATATAGCCTGATGTGCTTTTACCGATTTCGCCACAGAGGAGCGTTCGGTTAGCAAGGTCGATTTTACTGTTTTTAAACTAGAATTTTCCATGATTTTCTCACGTACATTCGTATCTGTTCGATGCGTATCCAAATGTAAACAAATGACGTCATACATTAAATGGTTGGTGCTTCTGCAGAAAGAACATGTTTGTACAACGCAATCCTCGGGTGTCTGTCTACCTCCCCAGACGAGACTCTGCTCTTTAGCATAGCCTCGTCTGTGTTTCTCTCTGCCCGCGGGCAGGTAGGTCGACAAGACGTTTAGTTCACCTTTCACTCTTTCAGTAAGAGAGCATGTTATTTATCCTTTTAGATCAATCCATTTTGCGGGAGTGGTCCGGTAACCCACAACAATAATTGATTCTATAGGTAAACATTAATCGTTCATACTTGCCTCTGCATGACACCCACCCCAACAGAGACTCCAGTATGAGTATTATATTCTCCACCGACAGGGAAACTTCAAACAGGTGATGTGCTTCCTGTCAAATAAATACTAATACTCAGGGTTTCTCATCAGAACGTTGTCTAAATCATTATACAGTTCCCATTTCCTTGTTTTCCTATCGTGTATCCTGATACCCTTGCTTACCCAGGAGAATGATCTACATATACCCTGCTGTCTACTTTATTCAGGAATAAGCAGAATTGATCAGACAAGGTAAATTTCTACCATTGATACAGAGTCCAGTTTAGATGCTTGCAACATCTTTGAAGCGTCTTTCGGTGATGGGCATTAAATTGGGAACCTGACTGGCCTGCGTCTATATGTAAGAAGAATGACTGCACGAATGCAGTCCTACTCCGATTCGATTCGGGTCTACAGAACATAGACGGTCGTCGTTTTTCTCTCAGCCTTAGTCATCCCTCGAGGAGGACGAATCGAACCGGTCAAGGGCATAGCCTCAATAGATCGCAATGTGGTGGCTGCTCTACCAAGTACGACACCCCGAGCCTAAAGTCAAGTGGTCTACTAGCGATGTCTCGTCTCACAACTCCATGGGGATGGGTTCGAAATAAAACGGCGACGGCAAAATCCCGCCTGTTGCGAATATCAAATCGGGTGGACGAAGCGACAACAACTGAAGATATGTAGTCCCATGCATAAAAAAAGTTTTGAGGAATTCCTGCCTTAATTCTTATTACAACTATCTGTAGTTTGTAACACAGTAGCTCTTTTGATGACGGTGATCAGTGCCTCACCCACCTTCTATTACTGCGGAATGTGCGTGTACTCTATAGATTTTGCATTTCGGAAATATTTCGATGTCATCTTCTGGCCATAAGAAGTTGACCTTTATCAAAATCACTCAAATATTTCTTTGGCCTATAACTGCAGCATTTTACACATCAAATGTTTGACTTAAGTACTTATATATTTTTAACTCTGACATATCCAATTGTTACGAGATAGTAGTTGTCATTCGCGATCATAATATTTTAGCACATCATTGTGCGGGGGTAAAAAAAGAAGTGGTTGCATGTACGTATAATAAGAATTTATAGATAGGTATAAACAGAATAGAATAAATAAATATGAAAAGACTACGATATTTTGATAGATAGATATGAAAAGTTTAGGATATATATATATATTTATTAAAGACATTTTTATGTTTAACGTTGTTATTTATAGATACAAGTATTTAAGCAACTGCTCTGTTTATGATAAACAGTATTAAATAAAGAGATTTAATACAAGTATGCGTTTGGTGCAATGGATAATGGCCCTGAACTGTTAATCATCTGAATAAAATTGTTGTAAGGCCGTAAAAAAGTGTATATTATATGTGCGATAAACAATGGTTGACCCTAAACTTGAAGATCGTAATGATCGAGGATGCATCCATTTGAGAGTACAGTTCTGGGGAAGAAGCTTTCCATAAAAAAAAATACAATGGAATACAAAGGGAATGACAATGAGTCGACCCTGCGTACCTGACATAGCGTTTTTCTTGCTATGAATGTCTAGATTTGAGGAATTAAAGATTGTAGCTCGTTTTACCATGTAAATAGCGATAGAATAACGAGAGATTAGCAAAGACTCGTCCGTCAGAAAGGGGTTATAGAGTGAAAAATAGTTCATCATCCACAAGGCAACGTAGAGGCGATTGAACTCTGTCTCCAGTCCAGATATGGCAGCAATACACCATTTTTTTAATATCTAATCAGATACTTGTAAGGATTGCGCATGTCAGGAGGAGTCAGGTACTTTCTGGGGCAGTAAAAGGAGCTGACCTTTCTTTTTACCCCAGCATCTTTAGCTATGGATCGTGCATATGAATTTTGCAGATTGTTATTTCTGATTATGTTTGATCAACTAGCAAGAAAGGAAATATTGGCTTTCAAACTGAAATTCCCAAATATTTTAATGTTCCTGTATTCTGAGACAGTTTCTAATAAGCGTCGTTCTTTTATAGTGATTTTCCAAGCGTAGCTTAGATGTGGCACAAGGTTTAAATTAGGGGGTACCCAGTGAGGATCGAAGTCACTACTCAGTCATAATTGTTCTAGTGTCGTTCTTTTATATCTGTATACTCAAACTCTCTTCCATCTTACCTAATTATAATTCAATATGCATTTCACTGAAGATACACGGAGACGAAAGCTAGGAACTTTATTTAGTTCTTACTTTCGTCTCAAAGATGATAATTGCAAAAATTAAAAATCAAAAATCAAAAATTTAATAATATCAAAGTAAAAACAAACGATAAAAGTTATTGAATTTTAAAGTAAGGAAATTTGAGGAATAAATGATGAAATTATTAAGTTGTGTAAAATATTTCGCATTTTATTTACAGACCTTTACTCATACTAACATTTAAGGTTAGATAATGTTGTAGCATACCTACGGACGATAATGGGTATGTCCTCATTCACATAAATACAGTAGTAAATACTGTATGTTGGTCTGTAGTTGGAGATTCATTGTGGAATTCACTTAACTCATTTCTAGCAGTTGACTACTACTTCTACACGCCGCTGGCGAATCTTATATGTGTGTTTCGTGCCCTAAGTATTATCGTTCGTTACCAAACTTTTTTGTGATTATTCTATTCAGTAACTTTCCCTAGGTTTCAACAGATAAACACTGGGCAAATCAAAGAGAAACGAAGAAACAGGACCAGAAGATACTGAAAACCCTTGACAATTTAGGTAATGGTGTGACAAACGAATTATACGACAGTGTTGAAATACCGGAAGCACTCACAAGATCAATTTTCATGGCGCTGCCCAAAAAATAAAAAGAAAAAGAAAAAAAGAAGAAACTTTAGGAAAAAAGTAAACGAAGGACATTCAAATGAATGCAAATTCCATTAAAGATAATCTTGACGCATCATCTAAAGTAACTAATAATTGGAATTCTAATGAATCGATCCCACAGTACAATTAAAACGGAAATACAGCAAAAATAAAATGGTTTTGTTTATGGCAGAATACTCTCAGATCGATCGGTAGAAGTGCAGAAAGATTTATAGTTGACGGTAACATCCCACCTATGATTAGTAAATTGTTTTAAAACAGTTGTATACCGTATCTATGAACACTAATGTGTATGTCCCAATCCTCATAAATACGTTGGACACTATTGTAAGTGGGGGTAATATGCTGTCTAAGTAGTCCACCAGTAGCAGTGGTTTACCTACTTCACGCCGCTGGCGAGTATTGTATTTTGTTGATATTATAAAGATTACCAACCTCCGTTTTGGTTATTCATCATTCAGTAACATTTTCTAGGTTAGAACAAAAACAATCCCCGAGATCTTTTCAATAGTACAAGATTTTTTAATACAGCATTACTAAACATCCTAGTTTCTTTTAGAAAGCCTAAATTTCTTTTTATTTGAAGACAATAATAGAACTATTTGAAACAAATCAACACATACCAATATCAATATTATTATCTCCCTTGTGGGACGCTACATTTTTGCTGAGCCATAAATGTACAGATGAGCTTTAAATTACTAATAATCTAAGCTTGTGAACTGAAGTTAACACCAAGAATTATCTTCCATGCACGCGCGTGCGCACACACACACACATACAACCCCCCCCAACACACAAACACACACAGTATGAAAGTAATTTAAGGAGTTCAGCGGCCATTTGTGAAAGCATCATGCCAAAAACAAAATAAATTTAGATTTGTGAAAAAGAATTGTTGATGTCTACAAAGCAGGAAGAGACTGTACAAAGTTATCAATGCTTTTGAGCGTGCGAAGAACTGAAGTTCAAAGAACTATCAGGAATTTCAAAGACTCACGAAAGAGCAAGAAGGACAGAAATAAGAAGAATGCGAAAAGAAAAACTAGTTAGAAATTATCTAAAGACCTTACAACAAATGACACGACAAGTTTGGAATTAATACGTTATAACGACAATAATAATCATAATAATAATAACAATGGTAAAATTATTAAGATGCTAATAATAATAACAAAAATATCAATAATAAAATGAGTACGTTATGACACCAATAAATATATTAATGGTAATAATAGCAATGATAATATTATTAAGTTAAAACGCTAA